CAATGATACGCTCATGGCTGCAAGTACATTAGTGAGGACTGCAACGATGAGATGGAAGTTACGGTAAAGTGACAAAGACAGAAATATCGTTGCGTACAGCGTTGCCACTAGTTGTAATAAATATCTAACACTATACAGAAAATAATGAATTTTAACTGATCAGTAATCAGGAAATGTATAAGTATTACTCATTACAAGCTCATTACTGATTTTTGTCATAAATAATACCTTTTAATCGTACTAGTATTGTGTATTATCTATAATTTGCCACAACCTACAACTCTACTGCTTACTATATTTTGATTCTGCTATAAACTGGTAACGTAAAATTTAGATATGACAACGCGCTTTACTCTCAATCATTATTGGTTTTACTATAAAAAGTTATAGCCGGTAAGAAGTCCCTTCCTCAACGTACGCAGTAGATGTGCAGAAATCTGTTATCAGTCTGTTAGATTATTCGAGCTGTAAACGTTAAATTGCAAACAAAAGTTTCTATCCCTTTTTTCCTAATACTTTCTTTGTCATCACCGACACCGACCGAAACTTTACGCAAATACGATTTCTCTCACCGACCATGACTCAGTTCGGTAGCTTTAATGAATCGATTCTGTTTTCTCTGTATATAAATGACCAGCAATAATATACATGGTCAAAACGTGAAGCGAACTAAAAAACAAAAACTGGGGAAGACCTAATCAAAATATTTGACTGGTTTCAACATAAAAAACGAACCAACAACTACGAAAAAAAGGATTTCGTACGGATGATAGCTCCTTGCTGTTTTTGATTTCATAAATCAATTTGATACATGGGAATTTGTCGTTGAGAGTCGATAGAAATTCCTTTACCTTATTTTTCATCATGTCATAAAATCGTGTCATAAATTCTATTTCGAGAGATATGTGAAGTCTCATTTCTCTTTTATCCCGAGTTTCAGTTCCAGAGAATGCTTTTGTGATGTCAGCTCATGATTGTTTCAACAACTTTCTCAAACGTGCGTCGAATAAATTTGAATTTTTTTTGAATACAGTACTAAAAACGTTTTCGTTGTTGATACTTTCCCACTGCTCCTTTTGAAGACAGATGCTGAACATTGAATTTTATGCTCTACTGTATAGAACTGACTTTCCTTTTTTGAGATTTTGGTCGGAATTATAGGAAACAAAATAATCCAGATTCTGAGACAACATTTATATTTTATGGAGAACTTCAATAACCTCTTTCGTCAGATTTTCCATCAAAATGCTAATACCCGCTGGATATTCATTTAAACGGGACTAATCAAGCGAAGGATGCTGAGCAGTCAGTGGAAAAATGAGAAAAATTTCTACTCGTTCCCGGACGCCACGAACATGTTTTACTTGGGTTTGATTAGTTTTGGAAAGTTTTGTTGGGTATTTCGCTGAAGTACATAACCTGAAATTGCCGACTTATGTGAGCTCCAAGGCTGTTTATTTGCATTCACAGTTGACTTTCAGGAAATATTTCGCGGTATGCGAGTATTGTTTTTCCAGAACAATGATAGTTTTTACACGTTTTATATTAGCTTTACCTGTATGTATGTATGTATGTATGTTTGTTTGTATGTATGTTTGTATGTTTGTAACTTTCAAGCTCGGGATCTGTATTGATCTATTCGCGGGTAGATGGCGTTGAACTTAACTATCGACATTATTGCTTGATCTATTCGCGGGTAGATGGCGCTGTACGCAACCTCCTCCATGGTTGTTCAAAAGAAAATCAAAATAAATAAATATAGTTTAAAAAAACTAAAAAATACGCTTTTAAAGAACATCGAACTAGGAGGTTGAAAATAATTTTTTTTTCAATAAGCTTGAAATAATAACGATCGAAAAATATACGATGTTCTTCAAAAGCATGTTTTTTAGTTTCTTTAAACTATATTTATTTAATCTAGGTTTCCACAGCCAAGTTGTACACAACTAGTGTTCCAGTGACATACATTTTGATGGAAATACCAAAAAAATTGATTGATATTAACGTTTTTCTATGTCTAAGGAATGTGGGTGCTTCGTTTTCGGATTCTGTTCAATTTAAACTCCTTCAGGATGGATTTTCATTTCTTTTGAGTACGTCTGAACGTTATAGAAACTTTTATAATTGGGTGTCAGTTCATTAATCTCTATAGGGTAATGAAGACTTGATATAAACTAAAAAATACTTTATTGATGCCCATTATTAGTGAAGGTCCCACTGGTTTCCTAAGTCGATAAAACGTGCCTTTCTATTTCGGATTTTCGAGGAGTTCATCTGTATTGAGTTTTTTTTTTTCTGTCAGAGCTGCAGATATGGTTTGGTTCTGTTCGTATTCTGTCAGCCTTCATTCCATTGGTATTCTTTAATTTGAAAAACAAGAAGATATTTGTCATGGACTAGTGCCAAAATTTGGCACAATTGACAGCCACGAATATCCATGGATGCCACAGGGTTCCCATCTTGACCTACTGCTCTTGGTTCATTGACGATATTTCCCGAATCATTGTTTCTCCATACTGATTTTATACCCCCCCCCCACATGCCCCCTCCCGGGTTGAGTGCCCTGAAGTAGAAGCTTTTTCCCCCCCAGCTATTTAGCGAGGAGAACCTACTACCCCACTCCATCCACCCCCGCTCTCCGAGCGGTCCTCAACTTACTGATGGGCACTTCAGCAAGATTGACATCTGACCTCTTTTGGTCGAAAATCAGCCTTTAGGTGCTATTCTTTCGCGATCGGTAAAAAATGGATTTTATACCGACTACCTCAAAATTTTCAACACAATAGACAGAGAATATGACATCTACAGAGTGACATTGATTAAAAATTCCAGTGTTATCAAGATAATCATCAGAAGTGTGAGATGATTGAGCATGACTGTAATATTCGAAACACCAATACCAAGACCTGTAGGGAGGACAAAGACTTGAGCATCATTCTTGATTATGAATTGACTTTCATGGCACATATGTACAAAATGATTTCCTCTACAAAATAAATACTTGGGATTTTAGTGAGACAAGGTAGAGACTTTAGGTATATTCGAATAATAACAACTCTATATTATATTTACGTAAGAAACAGACTAGAGACTCTAGGACTTAATAAATTACCTAATGATTGATGAGGATTTGTTGTCAAAAGTCGATTTTTTCGTACACCAGGTACTGAAAAATCGCTTGGGCTTCATAACTGATCACTGAACCTTTCGATAATGATATACTGCGCTTGTTATACTTTCCTTTCACATTTCTCCAACACTCAGATGTTTGTGTCAACAAGAACCCAGAAAAACTTTCCACTTATTATGTTTTCCTCTGGGTTGCAAACTCACATCCATCTGAACTGAATTATGCGACCTCCTTTGAAAAATTCCTTTTCATCTGTTTCAGCCATAAAAGCTTCGCTACTCATCCAGAAATGGTACAGGAGATATATGGCGCGGCTGGAAGTGAGACGGCGTTACACCTGGACAATTTTCCAGACTCTGGAATACGCGGGAGAACAGGACCAAGTGAAGGTATGAATTATTACCCGTTGGAATTTACTGTTAACACCTGTGAGAGCATCAATTACAATGAATGAGTTATTCGCGTATTATTTAACAAAACGGAATGAATGGAAACGAGTGTTTTCGATAGGCTGGGGTGAACAGTAGATGTAATTTTCAGCGTTACAATCAGCCGAGTCGGAATTTCATTATAATCCACTACAATTCACTTAGTATTCGTGTTATGCGAATGAAGTTATTCATTAAAAGAGGTACTGAAAATCAATTTTTGATCAGTTGGAAAATATATGTGATATAAATAGGTTACTTCCTAAGCGTGCGCTATGACACTTGCAAATCATTTAGTGCGAAATTCAAAGATATCTATAGGAAACGAATGAAAGGAATTGAACATTAGTTCATTGCATGAATAATGTAATTTTGGAAATAGTACCTACGAAAAATAATTTCCATGTCATTACCTCCATTATTGTTTGTTGAAGAAAGGTAAACAAAGATCATCAGGCGATCTTCTATCGTATCATCATAATCATAATCATAATCATAATCTTTATTTCATCCACAAAATTCATACACAAATGTAAACAATAGAAATTACTTACATCCTGCAAGAAACTTATCGGACTAGTCAGCTACATGAAAAAGTAATAAAAAAGACAAATGTTATTAAATCAAATAGGTGAATGAATGTCATTACGATGTCATCGATGACATAAGCAGATCAAGCTTATTCCGTGACATTAAAAATCGTAATTCATGAATGAATTGTATGTATTTTCTATAATGCTATCCAATTTGGTACTGAAGAGCCTTGGGGCAAGTGTCTTAAGGCGAAACATCGATATATACCAGTGAGGATGACAGTATTACATGTAAGTGCAATTTGTTACCATTCATTCAAAGTAGAACTCATGTGAATGATATCTGATTTTTATTCCACAACGAATGTTTGAAATACAAACTGAGTAGAGAAAAGAATCTTCTGTATAATTCAGTGTTCATATAGTAGTATTTGTTTTGAAAGAATTTTTTTCTTTCGTGTAATTCAATGTTTATATGAAAGTAGCTGTTTCAGGAGGACTTTCTTTCAGTTTGTGTCTGAAAGTTACTTCTTTGCATGATCTACACATCCATGTATAGAGTTACTTATTTTCAAATTGATTACTTCCTTTGGAAGATTCCCTCACTTTTTTTTTGTATCAAGATGGATTAGTAGAAAGCCAAAAACTTTCTTTCCAAAAAAAACAAATGTAAAGTTTTGTCATAACACATTAAAATGTATAGAATGTATAAAGTAAATAAAATGTATACCACAGCCATTATATTAATATGTACTCATCTTAGAATTAAAGGAATTCATCCACCGTATAGAACATATGGCTGTAGAGAAACGAATGCAAATCAGATTTAAACCTCATTTTACTCGTATTCGTATCAATAAAAGTTTTTATTTTATTGAAACATTTTATGCCAATATAATTTGGTGAGTTTTTTCCCGTCGATAGTTTCGAAAATAATTCATGAATGTTATCTTTTTGACGTGTATTATGTCCATGAATGTCACTATTCGTGACAAACGTATGTTCTATTTTCTTTCACATACATTATCAATTGGAATACGTAAAGGCATGGAAGTGTCAGGACTTGAATCTGATGGAATAGAGGTTTACAGGTTTCTCATGGATGAGCCCTGAAAATTGCTCTCAATACTTTTTTCTTGCGGGACTCCAGAGGAGATTTGCTTTTGCTCGGATTTGACACCTTCCACTACTATACGCTGTTGTCGATCATTTGAATAAGAGGTGGCCCAGTTGTGGGCAACTCCTCGAACTCCAATGAATTCAAGTTTATTGAGAAGTAACTGGTGATCTATCATTTCGAAGGCGCGGCTCAAGTCATAGAATAGCCCTAAAACGTTATTTTCATCATTGAGTGCATCATAAATGAATTGAATGCACTCCAATATTGCAGTATTTGTGGATTTTTGTTTACTGAATCCATTTTGGAAATTTGAAATTAGCTTGAATTTTTCTAAATAGTTCGTTTATTTTGTTGAATACGCTGATTCAAATATCTTTGCAATCTAACATTGTATTGGGATTCCCCGGTAGTTCTTGATGTACGTTCGAGAGCCTTTGCCTTTAAACACTGGAACACATTTAGATTCCTTCAGATCAGGAAATTCACCTGAGGTAAATGACTCATTCATCAAGTGTGACAATGGTTCAGCAATCAATGTACCAACCAATCTGAGAGATTTCCCGTTAATATCGTCGGTTCCCTCAGTAGGTTTAGCTGCGGTTTTTGCAGAATTTCTAAAATTTCAGTAGGAGTTGTTGTGGTCAAAAAAAGCTGCTTTCTATATCCCTTCCTCTACTCAGATCTTGTCGAGGCTTAGTTCGATTACTGCATATCTCAACAAAGTAATCATTAATTAAATTACTTTTTGTCAGTCCGTCTGTTACTAGTTGGTCATTTCTGTCAAAAATATTTACAGGGAATCATTATTAGACTTAGATTCATTTATTATTCTTCAACTTTCTTTGCCTTTGATCATTCATTCGTTTATTGGTCTGTCACCCATATTTGGAATAACGCAATCGAGAAACATGGAGCTGTTGCGATTGATATTTCTAAGGCCTTTGACCGTGTGCGGCATGAGGGTTTGCTGGCATAACTTTGATGCTATGACTTTAAGGCTTTGATGTATGCCTCTCAAGCTTCCTGAAAGAACGTTTCCTGCAAGTGACCGTCGATGGGCATCTCTCGAATGCTTTTACCATCAACGCTGGTGTTCCCCAGGGATCCTTATTGTCTCCAACCTTTTTTTATTGTATATCAACGACTTATTGGAAAAAAAATAATAATCCAATATATTTCTTTGCTGACGACAGCACACTTGTCTCGTCATTCCATTTGGACTCCAGGATATCGACTGCGGATGCACATCTTCAACGGCAGCAGGAGGTTGAATATCCTGATGAGGATCTAGAAGTGATTTAAAATTGGGGAGAAAGTAACCAGAAAACTGTATACACCTCAGCAACTTCTGATGCTTCATAAAACTCGGATCAGACCTCCTTTGGAGTATTGTTCTCATGTATGGAGCTCCGCCCCTAAGCATATCCTGAAGCTGCTGGATTCCATCCAGAAAAGAGCCATCCGCCTGATTGAAGACGCGAATATCACTTGCAACCTCGAGAATATTTATGACGTATTGTATCATCTTTATAAACCTAATCTAAATTTTATCATAAAATTGGAAAAGTCATACCGATTCACAAGAAAAATGATTCTGAACTATTAGAAAATTACAGACCGATAACTATTCCATCTGTATTTTCAAAGTTATTTGAATATGCCTTTCTCGACCGTCTTTGGAGTTTCATTAAGAAGCATAATATTTTATCTGATAAACAACATGGATTCCAGGGCGGAAAATCAACATCAACCGCTATATTATCTTTTTTCAACCAAATAATCTAATATATTGCTGCTGATGAATGTGCATCAGCAATCTTCTGCGATTAAAGCTGAGCGTTTGACTGTGTAAACCACGGAGAACTATAAGAGTTGTTAGAACTATATGGTTTGAGGGGTCTCCGACTAAAATGGATTGAATCATTTCTGGTGGACAGGAAACAATATGTATCTATACGAATGAACTCTAATAATACAAAATATAATAGAAAATCTGAATGTCTGGATGTTGATATGGATGTTCCACAAGGTTCCATATTGGGACCCGTGTTGTTTATTTTGTACAACAATCAGATTGATTGCATTTTATGAGGTTGTCATCACTCCGCCTATGCAGATGATTTATCTATCTGGTATTGTCTTCACCTGACACTAATTTACTAAATGCTAATTGTAGTGAAGTGATTAATAATATATGAATTTTTTTCAATGAACGTTCTTTATTTTTCAATACGGAAAAAACAGAGGCAGTACGTTTCCACAATCGTCAGAAGCCAATACAAAATCTTGATTTTAGATTAAATCAGACAATTTTGACAAACACTCAAGAATCTAAAGAATCTATCAGATTTCTTGGGGTATATTTAGATTAATTTTCGAGTTGGAAAATCCACTATAATAAACTAATGGGCGAATTGAATTCCCTGAATTTTCTCCTTCTGAATCTTCGAAATGTTCTCAATAAGGCACAGCTACTGGCAATTTACTACACCCAAATTGATTGAAGGCTGGGGAATTTCCACCTCAGCATCGGATGTTTTCATCTATCAAAAACGCGAATTGAATGAAGATATTCATGGATATAATATAAAAAATAAACATTCCATGTATATTCCATTTGCGAAAGTGAATACTACATATTTTGCTTCCCAATAAATAGGGCCACTAATTCTTAACAAACTCCCAGTTATCATTAAACAGCTTAAAAATGTGAGACATTTCAAAAAAGACATGAAACATTTTTGACTGGAGACATGTTTTTATTCGCTTTCCGAATTTTTAATTGAAAGTAATTGTAAGTGGCTACCTTATCTTAAATTCATATTTTATTTTTTTAAATACTTTTAATAACTTCAGAATCAGGCTTGACAATTACCATACATGTAACTGTCAACGGGAAATGAAGATTTATTATTATTATTATAGTCTGGAACATCGAAGAAAGATTGGAGATTTGTCTCTTTCGAAACGGACTGTGGCTGCTCAACGTTTTCAGGTTCAACTCAGACAACTTCAAACTTCATTGTTTAAGAAATTTTTCAACTGGAGAATTGCGTTCATGTGGAATAAAGTTCCTGAGAACGTTCTTTCCTTGCTTTGAATAATATTTCAATTAAGATTCAAAAGTAGAGTCATTTCCTAATGAAATCTGAAGTGAGTACAAATTTTGATCGATATACTTGTACTATATTTGTATATTGTACAACAAAACAGTCTCAAAGTAACTCCAACTCCAACTCCAACTGTTTGTTTCAATGTATACTTTTTCTGTTGAAAATTAATCAATATAAACGATACAATGTAATAGT